ACTTAGCGTACTCAATGTCATTTCAGGGACAAATATTGCAAAAATATGGTTTTCTTTGTGCTTAATGGCCTGTGTTGGGTTTGCAAGTGACTGTGGTAAAATGTACAGTCGCCATCTTTGTTTTCTATGGAGGACTGCGGTAAATGAACAGATGTACACATAAAAATGAGATTGCAAATGGCTGTTTCACAAACATCATGAAGTATGTCACCATATTATGTAATAGCCCTTTCGCGGTTAATTTTTCATAATCATTTGTATAAAAATATGTTCTACCCTGAGAGGCAATTCTGGCCAATTGTGTGATTTTGGTTTTTTTGCAGTTTTAATTTTTAGTACTATGCAGATAAGAAAAATGAACTGTGAAAAGGGCTAATAATGTAGTGACCTGACGCTAAGGCTGGTTTTCAGGAAGATGCCACAGGTGTGGGTAGAAGCACTAGTATATGCATGAGCATAAACATGAAGGTCCTCACAGTGGACCATAAACATGAAAAGAAGGTGGAATTGATTTATTCACGAGGAATCACACAGGCAAGAGCTTCAGCAAAAGCAACAGAAGATAAAAGCAAGTGGAAGTTGACATGCCTGTCTGTGCTCTTGTTTATGACTCCTTTTGGCCATGTTTAACATACCAGAATTCTAACATGACCCAGAGGCTTTCGGCCTAAATTGTAGATTTTCTAAGATTCTTTTGTCTTGTAAATCTCATACTTGATGCAAAGAAAATATATATAAACAATAGCCTCCATTTGATGCGAAAATATGCTAGGATATTTGTCTGCGGACATTATCTCTTCCGAGAGGCGAACAGTTTACGCTCGAGAAAAACTGTGAGCTTCAAGGAACAGATAATGTCCAAGGACAAATATCCGAGCACATTTTCGCGCAAAATGGAGGCTATTGTGTTTATTATCCTTCAAATATTTTTCGCAACACGCGCAGTTTTGAAAATTGGGGAACAATCGGTCACGTGACGTGTTTAGACAATCGCACGCAAGCGAAAATATTTGATGGATTGTAAAACCAAATATGCCAAAGTTTGGCAGAAAGCTTCGGTACCATGTTAGAAACGTGGGCTCTACTGCTTTTTCTTATGCAATTTTCATGCTTTTGCTTCATCTTACGCTCGAGTTGAGCACTTGTCAAATCCAGCCTGTCAGTACTGTTTTTTTTTTTTTTGTCTTTGAAATGTAAACCCTGCAACCTCTCTTATTTTCAATTCTCATCATGAACTGATAGAAAAATATCGAGACATTTTCAGGAATTTTTTCTCATGATTAGATTTCTTAAGTTTTATAACAAATTCAAACTGGCAGTTCATGAATTCAAAGCCTTTTTCATTCCTTGAAAAATGTCCTGACCGGCGTCAAAATTCTCCCAAGCTGAACTGTTAATAACAGTGTAAAGTCTAATGAGAATTTTGATACCGGACATGAGTCAAAGTCTGTGCTGGTAATATACCAGCAGTCCTCCATTTTGTCTTGGCAGAATGTCTGTCAAATGTTTTGCTATGTTTCGTGCGAGTGTTGTCTTCCTATGACTAATATACTTTTAAACTTTGAATTAGCAAGAGCTTATAGCCATATAATCATGTGTTATAAAGTAGTAATATTGAATACTGTAATTAAAGATACTCTTGTGAGAAAAGTTAATTGTCAGANTCTCATGATTAGATTTCTTAAGTTTTATAACAAATTCAAACTGGCAGTTCATGAATTCAAAGCCTTTTTCATTCCTTGAAAAATGTCCTGACCGGCGTCAAAATTCTCCCAAGCTGAACTGTTAATAACAGTGTAAAGTCTAATGAGAATTTTGATACCGGCCATGAGTCAAAGTCTGTGCTGGTAATATACCAGCAGTCCTCCATTTTGTCTTGGCAGAATGTCTGTCAAATGTTTTGCTATGTTTCGTGCGAGTGTTGTCTTCCTATGACTAATATACTTTTAAACTTTGAATTAGCAAGAGCTTATAGCCATATAATCATGTGTTATAAAGTAGTAATATTGAATACTGTAATTAAAGATACTCTTGTGAGAAAAGTTAATTGTCAGAGTGTCTTTTTATGTTGTCGTGTTACATGTGCCTTTGTTGTTAAAGTGAACGTTTTGATCCGCGAAGCACTGTACGTAGATCTTTATCCGATGTTGCAGTACTAGACGATTCTCTGTGAAGGAATCCCTCTGTTCTGCTGTGCAGGACGACGTCCTGTCTTTCTGTGTTTGCATGCCTTATCTTTTACTTATACTGCCAGCGTGCGTTCTCTCTACCACCAAAATATGTTTAGATGTTGGTTCCAATCCGTTCACGCCTGAATGTTCTTTTTTTTCATGCTTTACTTTCACACTTAAAGGTTGTGCACAGAACTGTGATGATCATTCTTGTCTTAACATCTTTCTCCGCAGTTCAAGTAGATACTTGGTGCATTGTTCACCCATGAAAGTTGTTCGTTCTTTACAGCATTCGCATCAAATCACAGACGGTTAAATCGACAAATGGAGCTTGGGATGGCTGTTACATTTGTTTGTCGCATAGTTTAATCTCACTTGGCAAACGGTACTTCGGGAAAATTCCTTTTCCTCGACCGTTGTTATCTCAGACTTGGACGGAACTGCATGCCTAATGAGGCAGTTAGCCCAGCTGTAAGCACAGGTCTATAGAGCGTTTTCACATGACGTCACGGCAGCCACATTGGTGCTCCAAAACAATGAAACGGCGGCCATGTAGGTGTACCAAACCAATCCTTTAGGAGTTCAACTCTTTTCCTATGTAGACAGTTTCTTTTCCAATAAATCTGCATGGCTGCTGGTCACGTGACTGAAAACGCTCTTTATACAGTTAACACTTAATGACTGGTCCGGAGGGGAACAGTAAATTTTGTTACCCTCGAATCTCAATGTTTCCCGAGACGAAGTCGAAGTCAATGTTCCCCAAGAGACAAGTCATTAAGTGATTTGTTATATAGCAAAAAAAAAAAGGGTCAAACCGGAGGAAAACAAATAATCACTTTATTGACAAATGACGTGCAACAGCGGTCAACATTTCGCGGGTAACAGTGAACTGTTTCCCGTTTGACGTCATAGTTTTCACGGTGTTGCCCGCTCGTGGCATTTGGCGGGAAACAGTTTCATTGTTAGATGTCATGTGACCATGAACTAGCCCATGAATGGGCGCGCTGTAGCGGGAAAAACGCCAGCTATATAACAATTTCCTTTAATTTGTTTCATGTGGAGATTTCATTTTTCAGGAAAACTGAAACCGCCCGTACGCAATGCTACGTGATGTGGACACTTCAGAGTGAACTACTGAGAGCGGTTTTCTCTTGAATGTTAGCCTGCGGAGCATGCAGGCGGGAGAGGGGGAGGGGGGGGACAAAGCATGGATGGATGCAACTCAGGCTACTTGAATGTTGAAAAGTAATTGGTTTTGCATTATTATGCTAGAAGATTGAATTAAAAAACTCGCGCCACTTTTTCATCCAATTGGAAAAGTAAAACCAAAACCAATCGCAGCTCGCTCGCACACGTTTTCCCGCGCTTCGCGTCAGCCACGCTCGCATGTATTTACTGAGTTTTAATTGGTTGACTGCAGTGTCAGTGGCCTTTGTTATTGGGCAGAGTGGTTACCGTAGAATTCCGAAAGTAACGGCCCCCTCCGAAAATAACGGCTCCCCGAAAGTAACGTTAATTTTTTACCTTCCTATTGAACCCCGAAAGTAGCGGCCCGCATGAAAGTAGAACTTTGGAAGAAGTCGCTAGGGGAGAAACTCTCTGATTTCAAGCGCGATGCGGATGGAACAGCCTAACTGCAGGCCTGAACAACTTGAAGAGTTATTTGTGGTTTTCTTTCGAACTTAACTGAACTTTTCTTGAAATTATGATTTACAAGATGTATTTGTCTAGCAGCAGAGTCAAATGATGTACTGTATGGTAATCAGTTGTACTGCCGGTGGCAGATCTGGGGGAGGCCCGGGGGACCCGGGCCCCCTTATTTTGGGTAAAAAAAAACAGTCGCTGAAGGAAGAAAACCCCCCCCCCCCTCCCCCTTAGCTCAAGGTCTGGATCCGCCACTGATTGCGACCATTATACGTTCGGCCTACAGTACCAACGCTAGGGGCGATTTTTGTTTATACAGTCCGCTTTGGTTTAATTATGTGGGTAGTTAGGAACATATTTAATTTCATGTGTTGCGCGTCTGCTTTGTCTGAGACGACTAGTTCTGTTACCGTACAGACGCTTTTTAACCATCCGAAAGTTACGGCTACCCGACAGCAGAGGCCCCTTTTGGCTGCTAAATCCGAAAGTGACGGGGGCCGTTATTTTCGGAATTCTACGGTACCTTGGTTTCGATTTTACACAGCGTCTGCGTTCCCAGACGAGGCTTTACGACACTCAATTGAAAATTTCTACTCAGTGTGAATCCAGTATCAGTGGCTGGTTCTCCTTTGTTGAAACTTGAAGATCTTCTTTTATTGGATAGTTTTCTCGACATTTTTTACAACCACGTGAGTGTGCTGACCGTCCATTGCCGTACGAGCTTGTTGTGTGAGGCCAGGGGCCTCTTTCTCGAAATTCCTGTAACTCAATACGGACCCGAAGCCAAATTTTTTTAAAAGATCTACGGAATAGTAGTGCGGGTTTTAGCTCAAAACCAGTCCATTCTGTTTCTCCAATTTATTGTTTGAATTTCCAAACTATTAATATCTCGATCTTGAATGTAAACAGGGCAAACAAACAAAAAACCAAACAAACAAACAAACAAGCACGTGCTGGGGAATATATATTAGCCCGATATCGAGATAGTACGGTCCATACAAAAACAATCGAGAGCCAATAATATTCCTGGCCGGAATATTCCCCACTGTGTGGCTCGATCAACAAAGCAATGCAGGTTAGTAGGTAGTTTATAATATGGCACTCAAGCCACGATCCGGCGTGGNCCTTAAAATAAAATGACGAAGTTTCATATTTTTAAAGTCCTTCAAATTGTCAAATACTTTTCGCAGCTAGCGGAATCCTTTGAAAATTGGGGAATATCACTTTTTTTCCGGCTCCTCGATCGATCAGGCAATAGTTGTTCGTTGGTTTGACAGATTTGATCGATCTTCAATTCCTTAAAAATATTTGACGTAGTAATATCGCAATACTTCCTGGGAGCGAGGTAAGAGGTCCAATTGTGTTGCTGAGTGGAACGCGTGACGTCACACATGTCAGATGAACTTTTCAGAATTTGTTTTATTTATACTCACCAAAGCTAGGAGAAAGCGGAGAACCCCAGACTACAGGTGAAGCGATCTAGGGCATTTAGGCCGCGTTCGCTTTAAATACTCCAATTGCTCTTACTACCGGAGTTTTAACCGTTCAAGTTATCAAGGAAAATGGTTTTTGCTCTTCTAAGAAAATCTCCAGAGGTAAGGAACTCTTTTTCGCTATTGTAAAACGTGGCTTAAGCTTAAAATTTTCCGTCTTCCTTGCTGCGTGCACTTCAACACGTCCAATGTGCTTAGCGATAAACGGGGGAAGGAAGGATTCAGATTAATCCTTCTTCAGGTTCTTAAGTGTTTCGTCTTGTTAAATGTTTGGCTTTACGGAGTAGCAGAACGAAAAATCCAACTATGAAATGAAATTTGTATGTTTAAGGAGAAAACGTTTTAGATTGCACGTACCCGGCGAATTTATGAATTCAGAATTTTTAAACCGTAAAAAATAAGAAACAGAAAAATGATTTCATTCACGAACTCTGAGAGAGGATTAAAGATGAAATAAATCCGGCAATAGGTTTGCTTTCTTGACATTCTTTGTCGCAACGTTTTGTACCTGAAAATAGTTTCTTCGCCATAGAAACTGTCTATATTTTCTCAGAACGAAACCCGGGAGGTGATTTTTTAAGTAGGTCTTCTGCCCAGAGCTTGCCAGCTGTGATGGATATATTTGAATTTTAAAACAGCAATTGCGTAAATCATTCCAAAAATTAATACTTCTTACACGTAACTGAAATACTTACTTCTAGAAGATATCAGGTTCTATTGAATGAGTACGGGGATAGACTACCTGTAAAGAAAAGTCGAGGATATTGGAGAGTTGTCCGTTTTAGAAAGTTGACTGTGTTCTTTACACAACCGGGCAAAAATTTATGATGGGTGTATAAATACTATTTTGAAGGTCTGCGTTATCAGATTGCAGTAATATTTTTTGTTTCACCAATTTCCTTTTCAGCTTGTGCCTCTGTTTGTGATCATTGGAACTGGCTGTGCAGGGGCTGCTGTCTTCACGATAAGACAAGCAACGAAAAATCCTGAAGCATGGTACGTATAAACCCTGCAATTATGAGAAAGAAGTCTATTTATCACTTTTACATGAAATCCGAGAAACACATAAAGAAGCCGCTGCCAGCCATGAATCGATATTGCACTTGAACACGATCTCGCATTTTTCTTTCTCGTTTCTTCTTGGTATAATAATTATAATTATTTTGGAATAATCAACGTTAAGCGTTTTTCATTCCAAAGGGTTAAGAAGTTTTAATCGTATTACAATTACCGGTAATTATCGCATCTTTCGCAGAAATATCCCAGTGCTAGTGTCATCGAAGTGCAACTTTCTCAGCAGGCGTGAGTTTTAGCACGTACTTAGAGTTTAGACAAAACAAGAATTCTGATCGCGACATTTCAGTCTATCATTTTGCTCACTCAACTACTGAAGTCTGCCTTCAAGCATTTCTTCAAGTCTTTAGTCCAAAAGGCGGGCAGATTGTTTCTTATTTCGGCATTTCCGTGGTGATTTAAATATTTGTTCCTCGCATCCCTTGATAGCAGCGTCAACTTGGAAATGTGACAGTTGTCATGTAAGAGATACGCATCAGCTGGCGTTGACTTATCGCAAGGGTAAATAAACTCCTTTAACATCATGCCAATATTTATCAAATTTAATTTCACGCTCTCTTGTCTTCTTGTAGCAATATTAGCATGAAACATTTTCGTTTCCTTCGAATCGTTTTCTTTCCAAGTCTGTTTCCAGGTCAAAAGGGTTGTTACCCAAAGAGAGGTATGCGTTTGAACTACAATTAAAACGAGAAACCTGAAAAGTCTATCTTTATTTTTATTTTCTACGTCATCCGTGAAGGAATACTAAAATTCTAATAGTTCCCTAGTGGGGGTGGGGGGGGGGGAGAGGAGGGGTGGTGTAAGAAGTATTTTTTTTTTTGGTTTCTTTCTGGAATCTTCCAAGGGGGAGGGGGGTTGGCAAGAGCATGCAATTTTTACTGTGCAGATATTATCTAAGGTTGTCATTTTGTCTTATATTTAGCCATTAGCTACAATGACCATTTTAGAAGCATAAAATAATAATGATTATATAAAAATAAACACAAAAATTGGACAATATCTGCTTTCTAAGCTTCAATCTGCTCATAGAATTTATGTTTATGTTTTATTTATATTTTTCACAGCTGGGATAAGAAAAATAATCCCCATCCATGGCTCAATGTCAAGCATAACGAACAACTGAAGGTGAGTAGATTAAAGTACTAAATATAAATTCTCCCTTGTGATTGCCATAAATTTCCTGTCACTGGGTTGTGAGAATTTGGTGGCATATCAAATCAAACTGTATCATGTGGTTGGTGACATCCTTAATTATTGTTATCAATGAGACAATTATTGTCTGATGGACCAGAAAGTAATATTGTAATGTAATATTGTTTAGGAATGAGGGAGCAAATGGGAATACGTGTATCTCCCAATCTGTAGCAAGGCAAGCCAATTTGCTACAATTTCAAGCCATTATCCATTGATTTGCAGATGTTCAATTTGCGTAAAATATGAATCTCCAAGTCTTGTCTTTCCAGACAATAAGGGGGAAAGAAAAATTCATGATCCAAATGATTACCAATTACCAAATAATGCGACAAACAAAATCTACAAAACCAGTCCTAAAATATGGATATATCTGCCATTTTAAAGGATCTGTGAATACTTTGAAATTATTGCCAAATCTTTCAATACAAACAATATATTTTGGCCAAATCTAAAACCTGGCAAACCTATTCAGCCCTCGCTGGTATCAGAAACAACTAATATATATTTTTTTCTTTCCATGAGCTGTTTTCAAAGTTACAATAAAAGGGACAATGATAACAAGTTAAAATTAATGCATTGTTCCAGAAAATATCCATACCTTCCCCTCCCATGCCTTGTGGAAATTCCAGTTTTGGTTCATACTTTCCTTTTAAAAATTTGGCTTTTGAGATCTTTCCACCCCNCCCCCAACTTGGAATTTCCAACAACTCTTTGGCATGGGTATGGTATAATTTCTGGAACTGGACATTGATAAACTTATCAACTTAACTGAAAGTATTTTTTGATGTTTTCTTACAGCTATACAGTCACACAGACTACTCAAAGATTGAAAATGTCAGGCCTGAAGCCTCATGAGTTTAACACTACACCAAAAAGGAAATGATAGCACGTTGATGAACTCAATCTGGTTTGCACTTTTCAAGAACTATTATAGTAGTTTAATTTGCAATAATTTAAGAGGATACACACTCAGCCCTATGTACACTAAAAAATGCAAGGAAGCTTCAAAGGGACATTCATGTTTACAACACAGTGAAAAGAAGATCTTAGACTTTTTCTTTGAATGGAAAAAAGCATTGATGTTGAAACTACTGTGGGTTTGACATCGGAAAATTGAAGTTTGAGTTTTGAAAATGAAAATATGATTTCTGAAACTGAGAAAACAAGCTCAATTTTTTAATCTATTTGTATGAATTGCTCTGACTCCAGATGAAAGCACTTTTTCTCACTTTAGATGAACAGGATTTCCCTTTTCACGGCTTCTATCCAAAAAGTAATGCTAATGCTTAATGCTAATAATTAATATCAGTTAATTTGCAATTTAAATTATGTAATCAGAGTGATAATTATTAACAATACTAGAATTAGCACTTTTCAACTCCAAAGGCCACTTTAGTAGTCTATAAACTTCAGATTTTCAAATTATTTACTAAACAGCTCATTGTCTAGAATGTTTAATAGCAATTTATCATATGGCTTGTGTTTGTACCAAAGGCACCCTGATTGGCTAATTCTTGGGCATAATTCTCTTGTAATGCACACAGGCCAATTACGGGCCTGCAAACTGAAAGCAAAAGGTAATTAAGAAACCATTGCGTGAGAGTGAATTCTATTACCTTGACGAGCTACAATTTCAGGGGAAAAGCAAACTCCCAGAGTTAAATTACAAATGCATTGGTGCTGTACAGGATGAAGGAAACAGCTTAACAGCTTTTTAAAAGCCATATAATAAACTACCTAATTTTAACCTCAAAATATGTTCTGTCTTTACAGGAAAACCTCAAACCTTGCTGCAAGGTCCTGGTTTGAGTTTTCCTCATGAATACCTCACTCTCAGTTAGTAAATTACTTCCAAGTTATTTGCAGATCAGAAAGAACTTTCAAACCAGCACTAAAGAACTATTTTTCTGCAGGTTATGGCACCCTGACTACATTAAACATTTTGATACCAAAATACACAAATTTATATGGCACATTGTTTGATAGACTGCATGCAACTAACACTTCTCAGCAAGACGCAGCGAGACCTTGAGGACAAAAACAAGCAAAAGGAAAGAGCATGGTTATTCATTTCTCTTGTTTGTATCTCTCGGCCTTAGCTGCATGTAGGTTAACAAAGAATGTATCTTGTAAAGAAAAAACGAATGAACTTAGTACAACAACTTTAACTTGTAACTATACCCTTAAATGTTTTGTACCGGCCCATTGCTAGCTTTGTTTTGTACCGCAGTTATAAAGTTTGTATGAGAAGTGACAAATTAAAGGAAATACTGTATGTGGTCGATGAAAGAACGCCAAGTAAATAAATAGCCAGTATGTAGAAAAAGTAGTCTCGTTTCTCTTGTTATCAAATTCTTAAGTTTCCTCGCCCAAAAAGTTCATTTTGAACTTTTTTGTTGTCTTCAAGCGCTTCAAACACTCGGCCATTTTGCCCTTTGTGACTCTTTTGACGGAATAGTCCGTCGACTTAGCCACCACGCCTCCTGCAATTCGTTCTGCCGGCAAACGCCATTTTGTTGACTCGAGACAACGTTCGCTCTTCTTTCAGCGTTTTTTTCGGTGTCGAGTCTTTAGCCGAGAAAATGGTTTTGGCATATATGAGGAAACATCCCGAGGTAGGAAAACGTTCATCGTTTGGGTTGATTTATGTTGAATTCTTCCCTTGGGACTAGATTTATGACTTTATACGAGCTTGCGTACGAAAATGCATGTATGCTTAGCTTATTCGTGTATGGTCAGCTCTTTATTAGATCTGAGTCGTTTTAAAAGGACTTGGAATTGTCATTTGTTTAGTCCGGTGAAAAATTAAGTTGCTCTGATTGAAATCAGAAGTCATCATCGAGGAAATGGGATTTTATCAGTGATGAAGTATTTTGATAGGCAGTGCAATAAATATCACGTCGTGACCTGCAGGGGCCCGTTTCTCGAAAGCCCCGGAATCTTTTCGGGCCCGAAAAGCCATTTTTAGTTAATCGGCATTTAAAGACAGAGAGGTGTATACACCTGAAACTTCTTGTATGAAGAGAACCTCTGTTGGTATTAAGAATACATGAATAAAACAGCTCTGTAGTAAAAAGGTTTGAGATTTTGCTACGGCTTTTCGGGTGCGAAAGCTTTTCGGGACTTTCGAGAAACGGGCCCCTGACGTTCGTAGATATTTCAATGCAAGCATCAGAGATTGTTAAATAGCTGGGCTGGGTTTTTCAAAACCCGGTTAATGCTAAGCAAGGATTAAAAGTTAACCACAGTATCAAATTTTCTTGTTTAACAATGTCCTTCACTTATAATATAATTTTTTGGGTAGTGTAAAATTACTCAAGCTCAAAACTGAAGGACAAACAAGATAAACACAAAACCCCACCGAAAAAATACAAAACGAAAATCAAAATTCTCGCTGATCCTGGGTTAGCTTAACTGGGCTTTGAACAAACCAGCCCTGGAGTTAAGTTGAATCTAATGCACACTCTTATTGGTTAGTTTATGGTCATGTGGCAATGGTTAAATCTAGATGTCTCCTGCTGGGCAACAGTTGTGCAGTTGTTGCCTGCTCTCCCACTTACTAGAGGTTACTTTACCTCCTTGCCTTACATGCACATCAAATAGACTAGAAAAACGCATACAAAAAAGGACTGAAACAAAACGAAATTATGCGAAAAAAACCTAGCAGAATATTGATTACGTGAAAGCGAGATAAACGAAAAGGATGCGATGATGACGGGAAGAATGCGCGTAGAAACGGAAAAAAAAATAACAAAATAATTAAATGCGGCCATGCGGCGGCAACACCTTGTTTCAGACCTGCCTTACAATTAGTTCCTTAGTTCAGACCAATGTTTTAAAAACATAATTTGTGAGGGGCTTTTTTGACCGTCTTTTCGATCATGATGAAAAAATAGCCTCTTTTTAAAAGCATACCCATATCGAGACTAGAAGGCAAAAGCCATACCCTATTCATGATTACCAAAATGGCCAAAATCAGTACCCCATCTATGACCTATACCCTTTGGGGCCGTACATATAAGGGAGTACACCCCGGGCATGACAAAATTCTGACCAATCAGAATGTTCGGATTTATCTCATTCAAGACTACTGAGACTACAAGAGGCTTTACATCATCAACTTGGGCACGGGGCTCCAAAAGCTGCCCTTTATACTTAGAAAACCAGCTGCAGAGGCCTTTCAACCAAAGGCCCTTCAACCAGCTGCAGAGTCCCGCCTCTAACTCTGGTTTCTTCGACATTTGTACTAATAAGAAAGTTCTTTTATATCGCCACTTAACCTCATAATTTATAGTTTACTGATTGTTTTTGTGACCTAACAAAAACAGCGAAAATCAAAATGAGGGTTTTGTCTTACCCTTCATTGCATCTTTTCATCACCGTTTTGTGATTGAGGGCTAATCATTTTTCGGACCAATCAGAGCCCTTCATGCATGATTAATTTTGTTTATGAGGGTTCAACACTGCTTCCATGGAAATTAGAAGTCAGCCGCAGAAGTGAACTTGAAATGACCAAACCAGACACTGAAAACGAAACGTCAGGATTAATTTAAGGCAACTTGTGAACGTATTGAAGACATTTAACCGAAAAACTTATCAAGGGAAAATACAATGATTTGGAAAAACTCGTGAAGTGCGATTTTGAAACGACAACAAAAAAATCTTCTCGAACCATTATGGCGGATCAGCCTTCTTCGAGTGTTAATCCAGCTCCCCATAGCCGAGGAGGAAGGCATCGCTCCCGTAAGCAGCAAAAACCTTCGACGGCTGAACGAGAGCAGAAAAAGGCTTCAAGGTTACAGGCTTTGGGTCCAGGCGAATCAATAAAAGAAAAACAGGTTAGTAACGACTGCAAGCGCGCCAAAACTTTCATGACTTCTTGAGGTTTAGCATGTCACGCTACTCGATCATGACGGTCTTGGTGCTGCAGGAATGTGTTTTTCCTTTTAGCTTATTTTGAAAATCCTGTCGTTGTGTCTTGGGACTTGTCTTGATAGATAAAATAGCCTGCTACTATGTTGTATGTTTTAGCATTTGATGGATGCGTAATGCTGACATTAAATTTTGTGCGCCGCTCAAAGCTGTGAAAACGAACTGCAAATAAACTTCATCGCCATAAGCCTACTTGCTCTCCAGGTTCTAGTGGTATATAGATATATCTTTTTTGTCAATCATATTCTACGGATTCTATCTTGTAGACAAGATAAGCGTAGTCAGAATATTAAAACATCGTAATTAAAAGAAAAAAAAAGAAAAACCCATTGCGATCCATATCCCATTTGTAGTGATGGCTGTAAAGTTTATGAATTTGGCTTGACAAGGAATTTTTTGATCATGATTTTAAGCTATCTTTTTTTCTGTTGTCGATATGGGTTTGGTTTTTCTCAAATTTTTGCCAATGTCTTAAAGCTAAGCCACTATATGACTTAATACATGTCGTATACACCGATTTTATGTGGACTGTTTGTACAGCTGAAAGTGTGTTATTTTGTCAGAAATATTCCGGTTTTTCCTAAACGACTACTATGGAAACAAATAATGTTATGTCTTCTTAAAACAGTCATGTGGCACAAGTAAGGACTGTGTGAGAGAAACAACTTTCTTGAACATGACACTACATGGTGGAAATAAAAACTAGTTTTGTTTTTATTGCGTTCACAAAGTGTAAAGCCTGGTTCACACTAGTGACATGACGACATCAACATAACGACATAACGAAAAGATCAGTTTTATCTTTATGTCTTTATGTTCATGCTGTTATGTTGCTGATACGTCATTACGTCTACATGTTCACACTACAAACATAACGTCCTTTTTACGTCGAGATAACGTCCTTTTTATGTTGTTCGTGACAGTGTCGTTATGTTGTTATGTCACTGGTGTGAACCAGGCTTAACATAATCCTAATCCAGTCTACGTGGAGATTTTTTGGGACGACCATGCATCTTCACCAATAATTTGGCCTCCCCACAGCAGGGGCATTTGTTACATCATGAGTGTATGTACAAAGTCAGGTGTGAGATTCAAAGGAAGTGTGCATGAATTTGGCAGCTACAGTTTGGGTGCTATGATTTAGACCTGCTTGCAACTGAGCCTGCGCTGTTGGAAATGAATATTTTGTACATTTAGCTTGGGACAGNAATATTCCGGTTTTTCCTAAACGACTACTATGGAAACAAATAATGTTATGTCGTCTTAAAACAGTCATGTGGCACAAGTAAGAGAAACAACTTTCTTGAACATGACACTACATGGTGGAAATAAAAACTAGTTTTGTTTTTATTTCATTCACAAAGTGTAAAGCCTGGTTCACACTAGCGACATAACAACATCGACATAACGACATAGCGAAAAGATCAGTTTTATCTTTATGTCTTTATGTTCATGCTGTTATGTTGCTAATATGTCATTACGTCTACATGTTCACACTACAAACATAACGTCTTTTTTACCTCAAGATAACGTCCTTTTTATGTCGTTCGTGACCGTGTCGTTATGTTGTTATGTCACTAGTGTGAACCAGGCTTAACATAATCCTAATCCAGTCTATGTGGAGATTGTTTGGGACAACCATGCATCTTCACCAATAATTTGGCCTCCCCACAGCAGGGGCATTCATTACATCATGAGTGTATGTACAAAGTCAGTTGTTAGATTCAAAGGAAGTGTGCATGAATTTGGCAGCTACAGTTTGGGTGCTATGATTTAGACCTGCTTGCAACTGAGCCTGCGCTGTTGGAAATGAATATTTTGTACATTTAGCTTGGGACAGTAAATTGATGGCCATGAACCAAATTTTCCGAGTTTTGTAGCTCGGCAAATGGTTATGGCATGTGGTCAGAAAATACATTTTCCAAGTTGTAGCTTGGCAAATGGCCATGATTTGTTGTCAACTTTCCAAGTTGCATACAACTGTAGCTTGCAAAAAGGCTGTGATCTGAGGTCAGAATTGGATGTCAAATTCCTACTGCCCCCCCCCCCTCTCCCTTAACCAGGGCACATCAATTATTCAAATGCCTTGGGATAGGAGCATGCTGAGACACCATGGACCATATCCCCAGGGAAGGTATTTTTGGTTTGAACAGCTCCACTGGCCCCTCTGGAATTTCCAGTTAAGCATCAAACTGCCCTTTTAAAAATTTTGACATCTGCGAATCCAACCTCCTCGGAATTTCTAGTGAGCTTCCATCAGGTGTGTACATGTATGTGTTTTTTTCTGGAACTGTACATTAACTCTAGGGACTTGTGAAAGGGGGTGAGAGGGTGGTTGGGTGACAGGATACCTTTCTTGCAATCTAAGAAACCTGATGTATAGTTCTGTACACTGTATGTTCCCACCTTAGCAAAAAGCCAGAGAAGAACGTGAAGCAAAGCGATCCATGATTGACTTCAGACATGACTATTTGATAAGCACAGTTGCTAATACTCTTGGACTAACAAATGATGAAGTCACAGAGTCCTTGCTGGAAGGGACTCAGGTCTGTAAGCATTTTCGTTTTTGTAATATTTCATGTAATTGATGGTATCTTTACTCAATGGCTAACATCAAAACAACAACAACAACAATTATATTGAATATTAATTCATTTACATTTACAGTGTACTTAAAAATGAATACTAAACACATAAAATGAAGGCCAATTGCCAATAAATTATTGCCAATGTGGCTTTTGCAAAGACTAATGGCTGGTTTTCACTAGGGACAGAGTTGTAGATGGAATCATTGTTGGAGGCTGCCGTATGAGAGGTTATGGCCTTGTGAAAATCGAAAATCAAAAATCGGAGTTGTAAGCATAGTCATAAGCTCGACAGAATCAGAGTCAGAAGAATCAGAACGTTTCCTTACTTCTGATTCAGTTTACTACTCCGTCGCGTGTGATCCAGTGAAAATTAGATTAGCAGAGTTGGAAGCAGAAGCGGAAGAACCAACCAGTCACAAGGCCCGGATTTGAACATTGTGATTGGTTTATTCTTCTCCTTCTGTTTGCGACTCCGACTATGCAGTTTTAACTAGATCACGAGTGATGGAGTCATAAGTGGAAGCGGTGTTCTGCTTCTGACTCTGTCAGTTTGATTTTCATTAGATCATATTGNTTTCCTTACTTCTGATTCAGTTTACTACTCCGTCGTGTGTGATCCAGTGAAAATTAGATTGGCAGAGTTGGAAGCAGAAGCGGAAGAACCAACCAGTCACAAGGTCCAGAATTGAACATTGTGTTTGGTTTATTCCTCTCCTTCTGTTTGCGACTCCGACTATGCAGTTTTAACTAGATCACGAGTGATGGAGTCATAAGTGGAAGCGGTGTTCTGCTTCTGACTCTGTCAGTTTGATTTTCATTAGATCATATTGCTCTACGCTTCTGATTATGACTCTGACTATGACTCCGACTATGACTCCATCACTAGTGAAAACCAGTCTTAATGCCCTAACCCTAACCTTAACCCTAAAGTAGAATATTATTACTCCCAGGTAAGACTATGACCTACATGTAAATAAGGGATAGCTATATAACCTGATGTTACAAAATATTTCATGACTTTGTTCAAAAAATTACATGTACATTCGTGCGGTTGCTGTACACTCTAACTTGCACCCCACACATACCTTGGTACATAATTTAGAACCACATCAGTAGTCTAAAGATACATCCCTCCAAATACCAGTGCCGGCAGAACTTCTCCTCATCCAGGGGCCATGAAAGTAATGAAGACAGCACTATTGACTCTGGCCAGGTCTTCAACCCAGACCACTCAAAGTCCAGTGCAGTAAAGGTCTAATCTTACTTTATGTGTACACATGTACTTTCTCCTAAAATTTCCCAACCTGGATTGACAGTTCGGCCATTTTTACACTAGGTGGCCGGCTCATAAATTGCATGAGTGTATTCAAGCCAGTCGGTCATTGGACAATTGTCCGGTAAATTTGAGGTTTTGACAGGTAAAAACTAATTAGCCTGGTCAGACACTCTGACCGGGCATTTCTGCTAAAATGAAAAATATTTTAACTGGAAATTTGTGGCCAAATATGGGACAAGTTATTTTGTTATACTGC